CATCTACTATTCTTTTCAGGTAGTATCCAGGGGACAGTTGGTGGCTGTAGGCAAACAAAATTCAACAGTCTTCTCTTTAACACCAGAAAATTCTTGGACTCCAAAAGCCTGTATCATTGTGTATTATGTTGAAGATGATGGGGAAATTATAAATGATGTTCTAAAAATTCCTGTTCAGCTTGTTTTTAAAAATAAGGTAAGATTTAAAGTAATGATGTTTAAAAGAAAACTTTATATTAGTGAAGTCTGAGAAATGTAATATTTCTTCAGAAAAGTATCATTAAACCAAATTGGTTAGAAATTTTTATTATTCCATTTCTAGAACTGTGGTTAAACATTTTAATATTTAGCACTACATATATATTTTCACATGTGGAGTTATTGGGTATTGGTAGTCTATTTGTAAGATTTGGTTCTGGTCTTTAAGATTTTAACTCAGATCATGAAGCCATTTCAGAATTTTTCAAATGGTTGAATAAATGTTGCTCAGGGCTGAAATTCCAGCGGTAGCATAGTGTTGATGTGGTGTTGATATTACAGTGATATAAAGGGTGTAGGAAGGAGGTAGGCCCTCTAGGATAATATGTAGAAGCACAGCTGGACTTTCACTGTCTATTTAATTAGCTGGACATTATCCCAGGGCAACTTTTCAATAAGCTTGATTACTTTGCATGTGAAGATCTGTGTGGAGTCTGGTCTCCAAGTGCACCAGTGCCTTTTATAACCTCAAGTGACCAGCTTGAGTAGGAAATCCCTTTGGATCCCAGCTCTGAAGAAACCTGATTGAGTCACCCCATGTATATCAGAATAAGCCATTGCTGTCACTAACAATTACTGCCTTCTCAGTCTCTTATGTAAAAAATTATTGCTTTAAATAGTGATAGGCAGAGTATGGTTCTTCCATTTCTTTTGCCTTTATTTATTAAAGTATTTTGAGAAGTAACAGTAGTGATCTGTCCTTTTTTTAAAAAAATTATTTATTTATTTTTTGAGAGTAAGTCATGAGACTGGCTAATTTTTATATTTTTGGTAGAGACAAGGTTTTGCCATGTTGCCCAGAAAAAAAATAAAAATAAAAAAAGAAAAACAATTCCCAGTAGGAGGGGGCCTCATGACATTTGATTGAGCAGTCATGTGATGACTGATGCTCTTTATAAAGTATTAGTAGGTTCAGGACCATGCTTTCATGAGAGTAATGGTGAGGAAGTTTAGAGGGCCATGGAGACTCAGAGCATGGGGTCCTGATTAGTATTTGCTCTAACCATCCCCTTCCCTGGAAAGGCCTCCCCTCACCTGCAGTCCAGGTGGTTCTGCGAGTCCCCTGGGAGCTCTTGTTGAATTCACTCTTAAGTTCACATCACCAACATGTAGGCATCTGCAGTTTCTGTGTTTCTCCTTTTGGCTACTGGCCTTCCTCATGTATGTCAGACAGTGCTGTTTTCTACTCATCACTGGTTGGGATCTGAGGGGTGGGAGATAGAGAAAGGGAAGAAAAAATATTCAGAATTGAAGAATAATTCAGATTTATACCACTGTGACAAGTTTTATGACTTGCAAACACTGTAGGAGTAGTTTTTTATTCCTTTCCCTAGAGAAGGGTTATGTATGGTTTTAGAATTATCCCTGGGCCAAGGCAAATGTAGAATCTGTTATATTTTGAGCCACTGATCTGCTATTATCAATAATTTGCTTTAAAAAAGTGAAATAACTTAATCCTGCTTTCTTTCCTTCTTAGATAAAGCTATATTGGAGTAAAGCGAAGGCTGAACCATCTGAGAAAGTCTCGCTTAGGATCTCTGTGACACAGCCTGACTCCATAGTTGGGATTGTAGCTGTTGACAAAAGTGTGAATCTCATGAATGCCTCTAATGATATTACAATGGAAAATGTGAGTTTAGCTACTTTTTAAAATTATGAAAATGTGTACTACAAGAGAAAAAGGAAGCTTTACTGTATTACTTTAAATATTTAAAGAAAATTTCACTAGTTCTTTTGCATGCACAAGTCAATAATTAGTAAACCTTCCAAATAAAAAATAATCTGTATTGTAATGGTTATGTTGGAAAGAAGCTTATGTGGCTAAGTGTCCTTGCTTCTTTTATGAGAAATATCACCTAAAGTTAGATGGGAAGAATAAATTCTGGAGGTCTATGGTACTACATGGTAGCTGTAGTTAATGATGATGTAATACATACTTGAAAATTGCTAAGAGAGTAGATTTTAATGTTCTCACCACAGAAAATGATCAGTATGTAGTATGCAAGGTGATGATATGTTAATTAGCTTAATTTAATCATTGCACAGTATATAGATATCAATCTATTGCATTGTACTCCATAAATCTATATAAAAAATGCCACTTATGGTTTTCCTTCATTTTCATACTATCTATCTATCTATCTATCTATCTATCTATCTATATAATTTTTTTTTTTTTTTGAGACGGAGTTTCGCTCTTGTTACCCAGGCTGGAGTGCAATGGCGCGATCTCGGCTCACTGCAACCTCCGCCTCCTGGGTTCAGGCAATTCTCCTGCCTCAGCCTCCTGAGTAGCTGGGATTACAGGCACGTGCCCCCATGCCCAGCTAATTTTTTGTATTTTTAGTTGAGACGGGGTTTCACCATGTTGACCAGGATGGTCTCGATCTCTTGACCTCATGATCCACCCGCCTCGGCCTCCCAAAGTGCTGGGATTACAGGCATGAGCCACCGCGCCCAGCTCTTCATACTATATTTTAAGACACTTCAGAAAGTACTAGGAAATTGACTTGCATATTTCTGGGTTACATTGAATAAGAGAGCTTTAGATAATTTTTGAAGTGTTTTCTATTTTGGTTGTATACAGTGATTATAAATAATTACAGTTCCCATTGAATCAGGAGTTTGCAGTATGTCGAAGTGGTGAAATCATGTTATTCTGCAGAAAATGTACAAACCAAGAAGTATGCGAACATCTAGCATTGCATAAATGAATTACATATTCATGAGTCATTTGGTTTTTAGTTATATGTTCTTGATATATCCCTGTGTACCATTGTCAGTTGTAATCTAGATTGTACAATTTATGTCTATTAATGGATTCAGTACAGTGATTAACAATACATCAGAAAGAAAATTATATATAGTTAGGTTGACTTGGTCATTATATTGTAAAATTTAATTTACTTATGAAAAATTGTACATTTTCTTCAGTCTATACAACTATTTTTTTATCTTTTATTTTTTTTGCAAACTTTTTTTACAACCAATTGGCCATTTTTTTCTCTTTGACTTTTCCTGAGTTCACATTATTTTTAGAAGTCTATAGATCTTGCGTTTGATTTAACTGAATACTATTATATTCAGTTAATATAATTATATACAGTTAATGCTATTATATTCAGTTAAATCAATAGTATTTGAAAAGTATTTAGTTTTCTAAATATCTTGGTAAATATATTATTTCATTTTTTCTTCCCTACGTATGTGTATGTTTGTTTGTATGTACATATATGTGTATACATACACACACACACACACACACACACACCCCCTTTCTGATGTGCTGCTCTCTATCTCTATGTTAATATATAATATATACATGTTTTATATATATATTTCCAGTATGTTTATAAATACATCTAATATATGTATATTTACATTAAATTTTCTCAGATATTAAGATTGCTGTCCCAGATTTCTTTTGGTTCATATTTTCTTGGTGTATTTTTCCATCTTCTTATTTTAAACCTTCTGTAAATATTTGAATATATCTTTTAAAGCATATTATTATATTTTGCTTTTGTTTTTCAATCTAATATAATGGTCATTATCTTTTAATAATTTTTTATTGAATCCACCTATAAGTATGGTAATTCTTGTTCTAATAGGGACTTTTTTCTGCATTTTTCATATTTTAAATTTTAGACTTTTTTTGTGGGCTACATTAAATTTGTTTTGCTAATTTAGAAGTTATTTCTATTTTTGTTACTCTGTTATTCACAAGCTGTACCCATGTTAATTTATTCTTGCTGATTTTGAAAGGTTATCAATATTTGAATCTTCTGGTATGCTACTATATCCTCCTGGTCTCTGTCTCCTCCTCCTCCTAACCTGGCCAGATCATTCTGATTGTGTACAGATTTTAGCTCTGTGTTATCATAGATTGCACTTTCAATCTATGCTGTTCTTTCATTTTTTAAATTGTGAAATCTGTGTTGATTATTTCTTTTTCTCCATTTTATTTTTTTCTCTATTTCTGGGACTTTTGTTATTCAGAAATTGGCACTTTTACTTCCATCTTCTCAGGTGAGCACCTCTGCCCTTCTAGTGTGGACACTTTCTTTCTTCTCTGGGAGAGTTCCTCAATGCACTCTTTCAGCTTAGTGATCATTCATTGGTTGTATCTATCCTACTTTGATCTCTTATACTGTGTCTTTTATGTCAGCTATTATGTTTTTAATATCTGTTATTTTCCTTTGTGTCTTGTTTTTGTTTTATATTCTAATATTTCCCCTTATCTTCTTGTATATATTCACTATGCATATTTTAAATTATTGAATCGAGTTTTTAGTAATTTTATGTCACATGCTGCATGCTACATGTCTAGTTGGATGTCTTACTTTTTTTTTTTTTTTTTTTTTTGAGACGGAGTTTCGCTCTTGTTACCCAGGCTGGAGTGCAATGGCGCGATCTCGGCTCACCGCAACCTCCACCTCCTGGGTTCAGGCAATTCTCCTGCCTCAGCCTCCTGAGTAGCTGGGATGACAGGCATGCGCCACCATGCCCAGCTAATTTTTTGTATTTTTAGTAGAGACGGGGTTTCACCATGTTGACCAGGATGGTCTCGATCTCTTGAGCTTGTGATCCGCCCGCCTCGGCCTCCCAAAGTGCTGGGATTACAGGCGTGAGCCACCGCGCCCGGCGGATGTCTTACTTTTACAGTAGTTATCCTCTGTGGAAGTGTAGTTGATTTGGCAGCTCCTCTGATATTATCTATTGGGGAAGGCATCAGGTTCCAATCTGTGTAAGTCCTGTGAATCCCTTCTGAGGGGAGAGTTCTAGCCTCATGGACTAGAGAATTACTCTTGATCCTTTCTGCTGCCTCCCTCTATTCAGAGTTTCACTTTTAAACCCTTGGGGAAAGAGCACCAGTAAGGGAAAGTCTCCTGAGGTTATGATTCACTAGCCCTGAGGGTTTTGGGGGAGGAGGAGAGGAAGAGTGAATGCTTGAGGGACTTGGGTCTGTTTGCATGTTTTCCTCACTTTCCCACACTAGAAGGGCAGAGGTGCTGATGTGGTGTTATCTTTTGGAGACTTGCACAGGCAATCTGAGCTGCTACTGCTATTGATTTTGGCAGTGAAGTTGCCAGGATTGTGTGTCCTGAGGCTACCCCTGGAGGGAAACAAGGGCAAAATTTAAAAACTTCTCCTCCAGTCTGTTTTCTGACTGTTGTGTCTACTGCTGCGTCTAGCTGCCTTCTGCCTTAGGCTGAAGCCACCCACTTTCTCCCAAGACCAATTGAAGATGTCCACCACTCTTCCTGGGGTTTTCTCCTTGTGCACGTTGAAGTTTCCTGCTTGCTTTTATTGGTTCTCCAGTTGGTTCTGGAGGAGGGAGTCAGGAGCCTGTGATAGTAGACTGTTTGGACTTCTTTTTTTTCTTGTTAAATTTATATGTGTTGTCAATAGCCTCTTGAATGCCTTGGAATAATTTAAGTATATTGGATCTTCCAGGAATAATTTTTAGAGGTTAGCCTTCTTGTGGGTGGCCTGTGCTGCAGCTTTGACAATGCTTTGTTTATTGAGCCACCGAGAACAGGAAGATTTCCTTATGAGATAGATGCTGCTTTTTCTTTTTTCCTTTTCTAAAAATAAATTTTACTGTGTATATTTGAGGTTTACAACATGATGTTATGGAATACATAGAGGCGGTATAATGGTTACTGTAGTGGAACAAATTTATATATTTATCATTTTGCATAGCTACATTTTTGTGACAAAAGCAGTTAAAATCTACCAAAAACTCCAAATATCATACAATTCTATTAACTGTATCTCTCATGTTATAGATTATATCACTGCATTTTTTCATCCCAGATATCTGCTGTTTTTTGTCCTTTGATCTCTGTCTTCTCATTTCCTTCTTCCTTCCCCCCTCATCTCTGTAACTATCTTTTATTTGTTTATTTAAACTTTTAAGTTCAGTGGTACATGTGCAGATTTGTTACATAGGTAAACTTGTGTCATGATGGTCTGTTGTACAGATTATTTCATCACCCAGGTATTAAGCCTAGTATCCAATTGTTATTTTTCCTGATCTTCTCCCTTTTCCCATCCTCCACCCTCTGACAGGTCCCACTGTGTATCACTTCTCTCTATGTGTCCATGTGTTCTCATCATTTAACTCCCACTTACAAGTGAAAATGTGGTATTTGGTTTTCTGTTCCTGGATTAGTTTGCTAAGGATAATGGCCTCCAGCTCCATCCATGTACCTGCAAAGGAAATGATCTTGTTCTTTATGGCTGTGTAGTATTCCATGGTGCATATGTATGTATTTTTTTAATCTAGTCTATCATTGACAGGCATTTAGGCTGATTCCGTGTCTTTGCTATTGTGAATAGTGCTGCAATGAACATATGCATACATATGTCTTTATAATAGAATGATTTATATTCCTTTGGATATATACCCAATAGTGGGATTGCTGGGTCAACTGGTATTTCTGTCTTTAGGTCTTTGAGGAATTGCCACATTGTTTTGTACAATGGCTGAATTAATTAACACTCCTACCAACAGTGTATAAGAGCTCCTTTTTCTCCACAACCTCACCAGCATCTGTCATTTTTTGACTTTTAAATGATAGCCATCCATTCTGACTGGTGTGAGACATATATCTCATTCAGTTTTTTTTTTTTTTTTTTTTTTAGACAGAATCTCGCTCTGTCACCCAGGCTGCTGGAGTGCAGTGACTTGATCTTGGCTCACTGCAACTTCTGCCTCCTGGGTTCAAACAATTCTCCTAGCTCAGCCTCCTGAGTAGCTGGGATTACAGGTGTGAGCCACCATGCCCAGCTGATTTTTATAGTTTAATAGAGACAGGGTTTCACCATTTGGGCCAGACTGGTCTCAAACTCCTGAACTCAAGTGATCCTCCTGCTTTGGCCTACCAAAGTGCTGGGATTACAGTGTGAGCCACAATGCCTGGCCTTGTTGTGGTTTTGATTTGCATTTCTCTAATGATCAGTGATGTTGCACTTTTTCTCATATGATTGTAGGCCACGTGTATGACTTCTTTTGAAAAGTGTCTGTTTATATCCTTGTCCACTTTTTAAATGTTTTTTTTTTTTTTCCCTTGTAAATTTGTTTAAGTTCTTTATAGATGCTGCATATTAGACCTTTGTCAGATGCATAGTTTGCAAAAATTTTCTCCCATTCTGTAGGTTGCTTACTCCCTTGATAGTTTCTGTTGTGGTGCAGAATCTCTTTCATTTAATTTGATCCCATTTGTCAATTTTTGCTTTTGTTGCAATTGCTTTTGCATCTTCATTATGAAATCTTTGCCTGCGCCTATATCCTGAGTGGTATTGCCAGGTTGTCTTCCAGGATTTTTATAGTTTTGGGCTTGACATTTAAGTTTTTAATCCACCTTGAGTTAATTTTTGTATAAGTTGTAAGGGAGGGATCCAGTTTCAATCTTCTGATTATGGCTACCCAGCTTTCCCATCACCATTTATTGAAAAGGAAATCCTTACCCCATTGCTTGTTTTTGTCAGGTTTGTTGAAGATCAGATAGTTATAGATGTGCAGTTTTATTTCTGCATTTTCTATTCTGTTCCATTGGTCTATGTGTCTGTTTTTTGTACCAGTACCCTGCTGTTTTGATTACTGTAGCCTTGTAGTGTAGTTTGAAGTCAGGTAGCTTGATGGCTGCAGCTTTGTTTTTTTTTGCTTAGGATTGTCTTGGCTATACGAGTACTTTTTTGGTTCCGTATGAATTTTAAAATAGTTTTCTCTAGTTCTGAGAAGAATGTAGTAGTTTAACAGGAATAGCATTGAATGTATAAATTGTTTTGGAAAGTATGGACATTTTAACAATGTTTGTTCTTCCCATTAATGAGCATGGGATGTTTTTCCATTGGTTTGTTCATCTCTGATTTCTTGAGCAGTGGTTTGTAGTTCCCTTTGTAGAGATCTTTTACCTCCCTAGTTAGCTGTATTCATAAATGTTTTATTCTTTTCCTGGCAGTTGTGAATGGGTGCTTATTTCTGATTTATCTCTCTGCTTGCATGTTTTTGGTTTATAGGAATGCTAGTGATTTTTTCACATCAATTTTATATCTTGAGGCTTTGCTGAAGTTGTTTAGTCGGTTTAAGAAGCTTTTGGGCTGAGACTAGGGGGTTTTCTAGAAATAGGATTATATCATCTGCAAACAGGAATAGTTTGACTTCCTCTCTTCCTATTTGGATGTCCTGTATTTCTTCCTTTTGCCGGATTGCCCTAGCCAGAACTTCCAGTACTGTATTGAATGGGAGCGTGGAGAGAGGGCATCCTTGTCTTGTGCTGATAACCACTGTTTAAATGCTGCTTCTTGAATAGTTCTATGAATTGGTGTCTGAGCAAGAGCAGAAGCAAATCTTCCCATATTTGTATTTTGTGACAGAGTTAGAGTCATGGAACTGAAGGCTTTTCTCTTTATTGTGCCTGGCTCTGGCTCCATTGTCTTGCCAGCTTGTTGAGACATGAAATTTTTTTCTGATTGTGTTCTTATTGGTGCCTGCTCTAGTTGCTTACTGTAGATGTAGCTGTGGTTGTTGTTAGCATTGCAGAAATAGTGGTTGCAGGTGTTTAATTTTATGCTAGAGTGTGTTTTTTCAACTTGTACTTAGATTTTTTTGTGTGTGATTTTTAATTCCAACTTTGTCTTAATTTATCTGGTTAATGCTAATGTAAATTAGGGATAAGTATCAAAATCATTACCCGAAAAGGTGTAATACTTTAATTTTTTTATTTAGTTAAATATAAATGAAATGAAATTTGCTATTTTTACTATTTTAAGTATTTAATTCAGTGACATTAATTACTTCAAAATGTTGTGTGACCATCACCAATATTTCCAAAACATTTTCATGGCTCCAGACAGAGACTCTCTAATCATTAAACAATATCTACTCATTTCCCCCTCCCCCCAGCCCTTGGCAACTCTAGTCTACTTCCGTCTTTATGAAGTTGCCTGTTCTAGATATTTCACATAAATAAAATTATATAATATTTGCCCTTTTGTGTCTGGCTTATTTCACTTTGCACAATGTTTTCAAGATTCTCCCATGTTGTTGCATGTATCAAAACTTCTTTTCATAGCTGAATAGTATTGTATTGTGTACATATACCACATTTTGTTTTTTTTTTCTGTTGATGGACACTGGTTGTTTCCACCTTTTTTGGCTGTTGTGACTAATGTTGCAATGAGCAGTGGCATACAAGTGTCTCTTGGAGTTACTGTTTTCAGTTCTTTTGGGTATAAGCCCAGGAGTGGAACAACTGGGTTGTATTCTAGTTCTATATTGAATTTTTTGTGGAACTGCCAGTTTTACTCACTCTTTTACCCTGTTTTACTGACTTCTGCTAGCAATGAGTACTGTCCTTGAAGAAAAAAGCATTGCTAATGGGGTATTAGCAATATCTCAGCATTATACATGCAAATACCTCATTTTAGAAAAAACTGTATCTCATGGATGTTGTCGTTTGCATTGCTTTGACTGTCAGTGAGGCTGAATATTTTTCTGCTTATTAATAACTTATATTTCTACTTTTATAAATTGCTTCTTCAGATTTTTTTTAAAAAGTTAGGTCACTGACATTTTGCAGAGTTTATATTAACCTTCAACAAAGTTAACCTGTCTTTGCCGAAAGTGTGGGTCATTTTTAATGCTGACCTCTGTCTGTTGGTTTTGTCAAACAGTAACTGTAAGTTCTCCCTGACAGAACTGAAGTCCAGACTTCTTAGGAACTCTGGATTGCTGAACAGAGTAAAAGTAAGGGTAAATAAGAAATGCATTTTTGGCTGACTGAATGATGAACCAAGCAATTACATATTCATTGCTCCTCAATATATGTCATTTTCAAAGTTGATAAACATGAAGGCTAAGTTATCTAAGTTACTTGTAAGAAGTGTTGTGGAAGGTTGCTATGAATCCATTCATTCTGTATGTTTTATCTTCTCCTTAGGTGGTCCATGAGTTGGAACTTTATAACACAGGATATTATTTAGGCATGTTCATGAGTTCTTTTGCAGTCTTTCAGGTATGTTTTGTTTGCTATATTGAAAAGATATTACTAGTTTTTACTATTGTAAATTTTCAGATTTAGCGATCATTTTGAGATGTTAACCTTTTATTAAATGTGTCACTGAAGTGCAGTCTTATGTAAGTTGTATTTGAAATGGAAAGATAATCATCTTTCCAGTTTTAAAAGCAAACAGAAAAATTCACCATTAGAAAAGTTAATGGAATTGACATTAAACAAATAATTTTTTTCTTTATGTGTATATATTGCCGTATAAATATATTTCATATATATATTTACTTGACTTTGAAATGGCTCTTTATGCATGAGTGTGTGTGTGTGTTTGAGTAAGATGGAATGTATGTGCATGTGTTTACCGACACTCTCAAAAATGAGCAAAAGTGAGTGAAGAGTGTGGGAGACTGCTGTGATAATTCAGAGAGCATATAAACTTGTGTTTTAGAAGAAAATTAAAATTATTCTTTTTAGGAATGTGGACTCTGGGTATTGACCGATGCAGACCTCAGGGAGGATTATATTGATGGTGTTTGTAAGTAATATATGGTGACATACTTGTATTTGTCTTTCACCTGATATTCAACATTACTTATGTAGGTATGGATATTTTCTAGGTGAACATAGAGATTGTGATTTTCATTTTACCATTCTCTTGTCCTAAAATGTTTGGAGTTCAGTGTACTTGGAAGTATATCTGGGCCATGACATGGAATGTTCACCTGAGCTCCTGTTTAGATCTTTGAAGTGAATGCTTTCCATTTTCTCTCGGTAATTCTTTGAGGTAGCTATATTTTTGGACATATTGGAAGCTGCTGTGCCTCCAATTTGTATCACAAACTGTGCTATTCTTTTGGAATTATTTAAAAGGAGCAACATATTTTTGAGATGGTTTTGTTCTCTAGCTTTTCGAAGTTCAAAAATAGCCCAGATGCCATCATGCCATGAAGTATTCTGGTATACACACACAGACACGCACACACACACACACACACACACACACACACACACACACACTCACACACACAATCCTTATCAATCTGAGTTCTTCCTGGATGGGTCATATCTGCACATCTTAGTTTCTTGGATAGCTAAATAGAGTTGGCTACCAAGCAATTATAAGTGTGCTTTTAGAAAGAAGTCATAAAATGTTTTGACTGAAGGAAATGTATAAATTAGAATGGTTAACCTTAGAAGGGATTCTCTTTTCTTTCAGGTAAAATTATACTAATATCATCTTGAAAGGCTTCTAGAACTGTCAGCTTCTATCCTTGAATTCCCTGTTTCTGTCAGGATTTCTGTTAGTCCATGCTAAGCCCCACAGTTTCTTTGGGTTGGTTCTTGCTGCCATAGGACACCTGATCCTCTGTCCTGAAGCTTAAAAGATAATGTTATAGTCTTGAAGATGTCATGAAGTCATTATTATCTCTCTATGTTAAAGATATGTGGTACATTTAGCTTTCCTCATATAACCTTCTATCCTAGACAATGTTCCAAGCATCTTTTTCCATTTGTTAGTATCGGCTTTTACCCATCTTTGTTCTTTTTTGTGTATCAAATTCTTCCTACTGCCTCCTGTAATACCCATTCTATTGCCAGTAATACTTACTGCATCCTTTACCTTTTCTGAAAACCTTCTTCAGAGACATTGTGTCTCTGAACACCTTCTCAAGTGATCAACATTTGTTCTGTGCATCGAGTTTACAATTCATTCTCTCTGGTGGCTGTTTTTCTCATTATTGTTAATGTTTATTTATAGATGACCATCCAGAGTATGCTGAAAGGTTTATGGATGAAACTGAAGGACATATAATAGAAATTAATGGCTTTTCTTTGGATAGCAGTCCACATGTCCGAAAACATTTTCCAGAGACTTGGATTTGGCTAGACACCAACATGGGGTAAAAATGTATAAAGTTCTTTGCCCATATATAGTTTGTTTAGTGTTTGTTTTAAAGAAGCTTTGCCCTCTTTCTAATGTTTAAGTACAAGCATAGTGTAACTAAGAACTAAGCAGACTGAAATTTTTTTTTTTTGAAATTACATTTATTGAATCTAAATGTAGTTTTTGATAAAGCCACACACAAATTATGGCAGGAAGCTCTGATCAATGATAAGACAGGCCTTTTTTGAATGAAGGGTAATTTTAACTTCCTTGAAGTTTTGTGATTCTTGTTAGAGAAAAATTGCTGGGAGTACATTTGTTGTCACAGGGTGGGAAGCACTCATGATTACCTCCTGTGACCCCTGGCAATGCTGCTAACTGAACCGTGTTCCTCACAAAACATTCCCAGGAGTCAAAGGGACAAGGGGCATGGGTGGTGGAAGGAATTCAGCTTAACTGATAAACCCGTACAACCTGGCCTGATAATTGAGCAGGTAAATCATGAAATCCATGTAGTATTTTATAATCAGCTGTTTAAAGATAGTTGAGTTAACACGTGAGTGAAATCTCAAGAAACAAATAACAGCATTGACAGGGATACAGATAAAAACTTTTCTGCAAATTTAGAGGAAAAATTAGAATTAAGTTTGAAAATATGTATTTATTATCTACACAAAATTTGTGGAATAAATGTTTATTCAGAAGATATAAATATTGCAGGAAGATTTTATTAGAATATGGAACAATATGCAGTATTATGACCTTATGATGACCTATTCTTTGAGAAGTTGGGATCTACTATTTTATACTTAAATCTTTTAAATGGTTTTAAATTTAGATATGTAAACAATGTGAAAAATTGAAATTCTTCCAAAAATAGTTTAGATTATGTTGCCTTATTTAGAAATAATCAGTTCTTGGTTTCGTGATGTTTATGTTTATTGTCTTGACTTCAGTTCCAGGATTTACCAAGAATTTGAAGTAACTGTACCTGATTCTATCACTTCTTGGGTGGCTACTGGTTTTGTGGTCTCTGATGACCTGGGTCTTGGACTAACAACTACTCCAGTGGAGGTATTGTATTGACGAGCTGCTTTTCAATGTTACAGTGACATTAGGCTAACAGAGTGTCAGCTCCTCAGTGGACTTTTAAAAAAAGTAATTGCTTATATTTATCACAGTTTAGAGATTCCTTGGCTTTGTCTTTGCTATTTATCTGTTTTATATTTTAGAATGTGAGCTATATATAGCTATATAAACTGCTAAATGTGCAAAGTCCATATTAAGATTTGGGTAGAAAAGTTTATTATTGACTTGAACTAACCATCTCCAAAGGCCAGAAGAAAGAGAAAGAGTAACAGAAAGAGAAAAAGAGAGAGAGAAAGAGAGACAGGAGGGGAGAGAGAGTGGGTCTTTTCATGTGTCCTCTTCAAGAATGAACAGAACTTCTCAAGTTCTTCCCTAGCCAGTATTCCATCATGTCTTTTAGTCAAATTGCATCATATATTGTTTCCTAAACCAGTCACTGGCAGGAGAAATATAGTGACCATGAGTGGCCTTAGACCAGTAGCTCTCACTTTAATTTTACCTGAAGCCCCCTTTTATAACAGACATTTTGTGTTGCCTTTTTACCATCCCCAGATGAAATTCATAGAAAGTATAAGACATCTGTATATACAACTTTCTAAAAAACATCGGTATGTGATTATTAGAGAAATGCAAATCAAAACCACATTGAGATACCACATCACGCCAGTTAGAATGGCGATCATTAAAAAATCTGGAGACAACAGATGCTGGAGAGGATGTGGAGAAATAGGAACACTTTTACACTGTTGGTGGGAGTGTAAACTAGTTCAAGCATTGTGGAAGACAGTGTGGCGATTCCTCAAGGACCTAGAAATAGAAATTCCATTTGACCCAGCAATCCCATTACTGTGGATATACCCAAAGGATTATAAATCATTCTATTATAAAGACACATGCACATATATGTTCATAGTGGCACTGTTTACAATAGCAAAGACCTGGAACCAACCCAAATGCCCGTCAACGATAGACTGAACAAGGAAAATGTGGCACATAAACACCATGTAATACTATACAGCCATAAAAAATGATGAGTTCATGTCCTTTGTAGGGACATGGATAAATCTGAAACCATCATTCTCAGCAAACTGACACAAGAACAGAAAATCAAACACCACATATTCTCACTCATAGGCGGATGTTGAACATTGAGAATGCAGGGACATAGAGAAGGGAGCATCACAAACAGGGGTCTGTTGGTTGGAGGGGGCAAGGGAAGGACAGCGGCGGGGGTGGGGAGTTGGGGAGGGATAATATGGGGAGAAATGCCAGATACAGGTGATGGGGAGGAAGGCAGCAAACCACATTGCCGTGTGTACTTATGCAGCAATCCTGCATGATCTGCACATGTACCCCAGAACCTAAAGTACAATTAAAAAAAAAAGAAGAAAAAATCAGTATGCCCTAAGTAAAAGACTAAGGAGAAATAAAAGGAAAGTAATGTATAATAAAATAATATGTATTTCAGTATGTAAGTGATCAGACATAGTGACATATTGAAATATTTATGCTGTGCATAGAACCACCCTGCATATAACAGCTACAAATGCAGTTTGATATATATGTATTGTTTCAGTAACTCAAAAACCTTGAGTGATGCTGCGTATGGTGGTATGCATTTTCAAAATGGTGACTGATTTTTGGTAAAGGTACAAATAAAACAAATTGCAGTTGTGTTGTTTGAAATAAAATGAATTGTCTCCTTTGAAATGTAATTTCGATTTACAAAATAAGTGTATTCATGAAAAATTCAGTGTATATTGAAAAATGCTTTGGGTTTATATAGAAATTAGAATTAGGGCCAGGTGCAGTGGCTCAAGCCTGTAATCCCAGCACTTTGGGAGGCTGAGGCAGGTGGATCACAAGGTCAAGAGATCGAGACCATCCTGGTCAACATGGTGAAACCCTGTCTCTACTAAAAATACAAAAAAATTAGCTGGGCATGGTGGCGCGTGTCTGTAATCCCAGCTACTCAGGAGGCTGCGGCAGGAGAATTGCCTGAACCCAGGAGGCGGAGGTTGCGGTGAGCCGAGATCGCGCCATTGCACTCCAGCCTGGGTAACAAGAGCGAAACTCCGTCTCAAAAAAAAAACAAAAAACAAAAAAGAAATTAGAATTAGATTGTAAGCTCAGGCCATTATAAACAGGCAATTCAACTACACGAATGTCTGAAGGGACATTCAAGAATCATGAGAACACAGAGCAATTTTTCATTGTCTGGGACTATCCTCAGCATTGCAGACTGTCACCCAGTAACTACTGATAGCACCTTTGTGTCACGGTGGCAATCTAAGGCACCTTCACAAATGTCCAGATAAAGTCTAGAGGGAGTTACTACTGCCAGCAAAACCATTGGCCTAAACTAATCCGGGTTTAGTTTTAGATGCCAGGGTGGGACTTGGCCAATGATACCAGAATTGGATCACTGAGGAGGAAGCACATGTATTCACATGTCCCACATATTTTCTTGTCTGTATGTAAAAATAAATCATATATGTGTTTTAGAAATAATTGCCAATTTCCTCTTTAAATTTAATCAAAAGGCACATGTATTTACATGTCCCACTCTAGAACAGGGGCTGTGGGATTTGGCAGAGATTTTTTTTTGAGACGGAGTTTCACTCTTGTTACCCAGGCTGGAGTGCAATGGCGAGATCTTGGCTCACCGCAACCTCCACCTTCCAGGTTCAGGCAATTCTCCTGCCTCAGCCTCCTGAGTAGCTGGGATTACAGGCATGTGCCACCATGCCCAGCTAATTTTTTGTGTTTTTAGTAGAGACGGGGTTTCACCATGTTGACCAGGATGGTCTCGATCTCTTGACCTCATGATCCACCCGCCTCGGCCTCCCAAAGTGCTGGGATTACTTGGCAGGGTTTTTAAAGCAGTCAGGTGGAGTTGATATAGGATGAAAGAAGAGCAAATTGCTTTGGGATTAGACAGGCTGCATTCTAGTTCTGGCTCTTCTACTTGCCAACAATATGAATTTGTACCAGTTATAAAGATCTCTAAAATTTAATTTTCTTTTCTATAAAATAGGAGCTTAACACTAATCTCATGGGGTTGTAATGACCAAACAAAATAATTTATGTCAAGTGCTTGTACTGGTAGGCACTTAATAAGTATAGAGATGATTGGGTTAAGTAACAGAAGTCAATTTGCCATCATTCATTTGTGATAAGTTGATGTTTGCTTTTCGTTGATAGACATTTCTAGATGAAGTTAAAAACTTCACAGGTTTTATAAAGATGGTATTTAATTCATAAAATGTGAAGAATTTTGACCTGAATGAAAACGTGTACTCATTGTGTTCTTTCCAGCTGCAAGCCTTCCAACCATTTTTCATTTTTCTGAATCTTCCCTACTCTGTTATCAGAGGTGAAGAATTTGCTTTGGAAGTAACTATATTCAATTATTTGAAAGATGCCACTGAGGTAATATATTCAAGCTTTTGTTGATCATTTACATTCAGCAAAAAATGGAGGTAGCCTGAAGGGATTGGGTTGTGTAGTGTCGGGGCATTTGGGATTCTAAGCACTTTATACATTTCTGGGAGACTGAAAATAGATATATCTTGCCAGTGATTTCTTCTGCTAATTAATGTCTAAGAACATCATTAGCATGCCTACACCTTCCCTCCTTGAATTTTCAGCATAGGTTTTTCGCTTTCAGCAGGAAAGTTCTTTATTGTCTCTGAAGCATGCCTTTTTCTTTCCTGCTGCCCTGCATTTCCCCCTGGTTTTGTCTCTTAGGCTGGAGTGCAATGGTGGGATCTTGGCTCACTGCAACTTTAGCCTCCCGGGTTCAGGCAATTCTCCTGCCTCAGCCTCCAAGTAGCTGGGATTACAAGTGTGCACCACCAAGCCAGGCAAATTTTTTGTATTTTTAATAGAGACAGAGCTTTTCCATGTTGGCCAGGCTGATCTTGAACTGCTGGCCTCAAGTGATCTGCCTGCCTCAGCCTCCCAAAGTGCTGGGATTACAGGAATGAGCCACTGCACCCGACCACCATTCTGTTATGTTTGTAACCTCCATGTTTATATTTTCAAGGATTCACTATTGGATTCATGTGCCTTGTATTTCTTAGCTAGTCATTTCCCTGGGAGGCAGGAGTTAGGTCCACTATTTGTGTTATGCCCACAGTATGTTAACCAAATGATTGATTTTTCTCTCCCAAGAATAAGTAGGGATATATAATATAATATAAAATTATATTATATAAAATATAGTATAAATATAAACTTTATTACATACATGAAAATACTATAATCTCTTTAGACACTTCATATATAGAGTAATTTTTTTAAATTAAAATTTTAATTTTTTAAGCTTTTTATTGACATATTTGACTGACAATACAGGAAGTATTTTTTTATTTTTAAATTTTACTTTTAAACCCTGTAACAAGTAAAAGATCTAGAGCCAAAAGGCCTGAATTCTTCCAATCTACCTTTTACCAGCAAATGACTTAATTGTTGTTTCTCATCTGTAAAATGGGAGTGATAATTATTATACCCACAAACGATATTCTGAGAAGCAGAGGAAAACATCAATGGAAAAATAATTTATAAAATGTAAAGCCTAGAGAAATGCTATTTTTGATGAGTTGGCAACTTTAGGATAATTTACAAAACTTTACAACCAAGATATACTTCAGGACTAATAGTCTGAGTTGTACTTTCACTGGAATAGTTTTTACAACAACTTCAATGAATTCAATAATTTTTCATGCTGTTTTCTTCATATTTTTCTAATGGGACTGGTATGTTCCAGGATGACATAGTTAAATCAAGCTGGTGGTGAAATCAATATATGAAATAACCTTTCTGTGCACATCCTTACCACCTAATGGTGTCAGATAGTGAGAGAATTTAATATTAGTGAGAGGGCTAGAAATGGGGCTGAAGAGTGTCCTTTCCCCATGCATCTTGAGGTTGAGGGGAAATCATAGAAAATAAGTGAAATTTTTCCTGATAGCCTTTGAAACTCTCCTTGGCCGAATCTTTATCTCATCTCTTCTCTGGTCTTGAGCCCCTCAGATTGAACAGCACTTAAAGTGGTGATAAAAGAGCACTTTACTGATGAGCATTTATCATACAAAAGCTTTGATCTATTTTTTTCTTTCAGGTTAAGGTAATTGTTGAGAAAAGTGACAAATTTGATATTCTAATGACTTCAAATGAAGTAAATGCCACAGGCCACCAGCAGACCCTTCTGGTTCCCAGTGAGGACGGGGCAACTGTTCTTTTTCCCATCAAGCCGACACATCTGGGAGAAATTCCTATCACAGTCACGGCTCTGTCACCCACTGCTTCTGATGCTATCACCCAGATGATTTTCGTAAAGGTGAATATTTGATTTCTGAAATAAGTGAAGTAGAAATACATATTTAAAAAGGAAGCAGGTGATTTTTTTTCTCTTGGTTAAATGTTTTGGCATATCTAGCAGGCCGTCCTTTTACCTTTCTGGTAATGCCTAATAATTTTCTCATCTGTATGTAAAAATAATCATATGTATGTTTTAGAAATAATTGCCAATTTCCTCTTTAACTTTAGTCAGGAACGTGACTATAAAGACGAACAGCTCTTTTGCAGCCATTTACATCCACAGACGGTGTTATGTTGTGATCCTGTGAAAACATGGTCAAGTCAATTTGTAGATTTAGGATTTTGGAATTTTTCAGTGAAGGTAAAAGAGATTTTGATAGATTTTTTTCAAAGATATTCCAGACAGAAAGACAATAAGCATGGTGACTAAACACTTCTATTCTGGGGTGAGGCAACCCTGTGTTTGAATCTCAGTTTTGCCAAGTATGATTTTGAACAAGGCACTTAATCTCCTGCTCTTTGGATAATTTTAGCAACTACCTGAAAGGGTTTTTCTCCTTATGTTTTCATCTTCTTCTTTGTCATTTTCATGGTCAGTCCATGAGATGTCTTATCTAATTTAACTAGAACTTACTAACAGATTTGAAGTAAGAATAACAAAGTGTTAGGCACTGTGTCATCAGATTTAATTCAATTTCATGGAAATGGTGCCAATTAAGTGTAAATCCTGTTGGAAAGCACATTTCAGTTAATGGCTTTGTGAGAGAATCTAAAAGTAGGAAAAAATAATTAAAATTACGGTAATTTGTTGTAATACCAACTAACAGGAAAAACTCATTCTGTGAAACGAATGTATTACTTGTTTAAATAAAATATCTAATTTAAAGAAAACAAAAGAAGAAATGGTAGGTGCTTATTTAGCCATACACAAACCTCAGACACAACAGGTCAGATGTTTGTGCTCATATCTGTGTACAGTTCTCTGTAAATATATGAGTAGAGACCATGTTAATTGTGTTCCTTTTATTCAACAGGCTGAAGGAATAGAAAAATTATATTCACAATCCGTCTTATTAGACTTGACTGACAGTAGGCTACAGAGTACCCTGAAAACTTTGAGTTTCTCCTTTCCTCCTAATACAGTGACTGGCAGTGAAAGAGTTCAGATCACTGCAATTGGTAAGAACAGAGGATATCACCATCTGTTGGTTTCATTGTGTCTGATCATATATGTTGTTCCTTAAAGATGTATTTTCTTATTGAGTCCTAATGAGAAGAGATTTCAAAAATTTTTAGTTGGTTTGCCAGTATTTTATTGAAGATTTTTGCATCTTCCATAAGTTGGATATTGGCCTGAAGTTTTCTTTTATCATTGAGTCTCTGCTGGGTTTTGGTATCAGGATGATGTGATGCGGGGACGGAGGCAGGAAACCACCTTGCCATGTGTGTACCTATGCAACAATTCTGCATGATCTGCACATGTACCCCAGAACCTAAAGTACAATAAAAAACATTTTTTTAGTTGGCCCCAATGATTATATTATGAAGGCTGGAAGATTATGTATCATAGACTAGTTCTTCTCAGTCTTCATTGTGCGTAAGAATCACCCGGGAGTCTTGTTTAAAAGCAAATTCTGGTTTAGTAGGTCTGGAGCAGGGCCTGGGAATCTGCATTTCTAACAAGGTCCTAGATGTTGGTGATAGTTTTGGCTTCCAGACCATACTTTGAGTGGCAAGGCCTCACTCTACCGTGGCTGGAGAAAGGGATTATTCCTAAGAGCAGAGCTTCTGGCTTCTGTGGCTCTCCACCACTGGTGAATATCAGAATCTTCTAAGGAGCTCTGTAAATACACAAACATCTGGGCTCTACTCTAACCCTACTAAGTCAGAATTGCTTGGGCTATGACTTGGTCATGTATATCTTAAAAAGCTTTCACAAGTGATTCAGGTAATCAGAGGTTGAGTACTACTGCCTAGAGCAGTTCTCTGTGCAGGATATGAGGAACCCTTACAGTAGGAAGTTACCCACTGACTTGAGTCACCTTTCCTAGTTGCTTTCCATAACATAAAAGTACTTTTCAAAAATTGACAATTTATAGTTGTGTAAATTTGTGGAATACAAAGTGATATTATCATTTATGAATACAATATGGAATAATTAAATCAAGCTGGTTAATGTATTAATCACCTCAAATACTTAACTGTTTTTTGTTGGGGGGGGGAACATTTGAAATTTACTCTCTTAGCAATTTTTTTTTTTTTTTGACAGAGTCTCTCTCTGTCAAAGGCTAGAGTACAGTGGCAGGATCTTGGCTCACTGCAACCTCTGCCTCTTGGGGTTCAAGTGAGTCTCCTGCCTCATCCTTCTGAGTAGCTGGGATTACAGGCATGTGCCACGATGCCCAGCTAATGTTTGTATTTTTAGTAGAGATGGTATTTCACCATGTTGGCCAGGGTGGTCTCAAATTCAAATCCCTGACCCCGGGTGATCCATCCTCCTTTGCCTCCCAAAGTGCTGGGATTACAGGTGTGAGCCACGGCACTCAGCCTCTCTTAGCAATTTTGAAATGTACAGTACTCTTGTTATTAACTATAATTTTCCATGCTAAAAGTGCTTTTTTTTTTTTTTTTTTTTGAGACAAAGTCTCTCTCTGTAGCCCAGGGTGAAGTGCAGTGGTGGACTGAAGTGCAGAAAGTGAACTACAACCTTCACTTTCTGGGTTCAAGTGATTCTTGTACCTCAGCCTCCCATGAAGCTGGGACTACAGCTGTGTGTCACGATGCCTGGCTAATTTTTTATATTTTCAGTAGAAATGGGATTTCACCATGTTGGCCAGGCTGATCTCAAACTCCTGACCTAAGGTGATTTGCCCACCTTGGCCTCCCAAAGTGCTGGGATTACAGGCATGAGCCATTGAGCTGGCCTATAGGTACTTTTTAATTAAACATAATGTCTACACAAATGGTGTTGTTAGTCAGGGTTCTCCAGAGAAACAGAACCAATAGGAGATACTTATATATAAGAGGAGATTTGTTATGAGGAATTGGCTCATGCAATTATGGAGGCTGAGAAGTCCAATGGTCTGCTTTTGCAAGCTGGAGACCCAGGAAAGTCAGTAGTATAATTCACCTGACTGTGAACCAGGGGAGCTGAAATCCCAGTCCTAGGAGAAGACGAGATGAGGTATCTCAGCTTAAGTAGTGAGTCAGGAAAAAAAGCGGTGATTCCTCCTTCCTCAAGCTTTTGTCTATTCAGGCTTTCCCCTTGAATGGTGTCCACACACACTGGGAGGACAATCTGCTGGACCCAGTCCACCAGTTCAAATGCTAATGTCTAGAAATACCCTCACAGACACCCAGAAACAATACTGAATCTAGGAACCCCATGGCCCACTTAAGTTGACACACAAAATTAACCATCACAAATGGTTTGTTTATATAGCGTGCTTTACAAATAACTGAAGAAAACGGTTTAATTAATGACATCTAATAGTTTGTTAGATCTTTAAGGTGTAATTAATGACATCTAATAGTTTGTTGGATCTTTAAGGTATAATTAAGGACATCTAATAGTTTGTTGGATCTTTAAGGTGGCAGGACCTAAAACACTTTTTTATAGTTCTTTTATATTTCACCAGCAGGTGTAATGCTTTCCATTATGACCCAAACAACCAATCTGTAGGCAGATGACTTTATTTGGAGAGTTAGATATAATTTTTCTTTTTTGGGGAAAGAGACAGGGCTTAGCTATGTGTGCGCCAGGCTAGACTTGAATTTCTGAGCTCACGCAGTCCTCCTGTGTCAGCCCCTTGCATCGCTGGGACTGCAGGTGTGCACCACTGTGCCTGGCCAATTCTTAAAAGGAATTAAATAAGCTCTCTATTTAGGGGAATAAATTCTGATTAAGCATCTCCTACAGTGTTGGGATGCTGGGCGATGCACTACACACACACACATGCGTACGCATTTGCACGCACACGCACACATATACACAGAAGGAAGGAGCCTGGCATTTTACATATATACTACCACTCCTTACATAGGACCAATTCTATCTATGGTCATGGAAATACCTCGAGGCTTAATTTTTATGCTTGATGTAAAGAATGGATTTTCGAGAAGCTGCTGCGCCCTTCCCTGGTCCTTGCACGTCTAAAGGCCGAGCGTCTAAAGGCCGAGCAGCCCCGTCGCTAGGATGCCGCGTGGAAGCCGAAGCCGAACCTCCCGCATGGCCCCTCCAGCCAGCCGGGCCCCTCAGATGAGAGCTGCTCCCAGGCCAGCACCAGCCGCTCAGCCACCAGCAGCAGCACCCCCGTCTGCAGTTGGCTCTCAGGCTGCTGCGCCCCGGCAGCCAGGTCTGCTGTCCCAGATGGCAACCACTGCAGCTGGCGTGGCTGTGGGCTCTGCTGTGGGGCACACACTGGGCCATGCCATTACTGGGGGCTTCAGTGGAGGAAGTGGTCCTGAGCCTGCAAGGCCTGACATCACTTACCAGGAGCCTCAGGGAAGCCAGCCGGCACAGCAGCAGCAGCCTTGCTTCTGTGAGATCAAACAGTTCTTGGAGTGTGCCCAGAACCAGGGTGACATCAAGCTCTGTGAGGGTTTCAGTGAGGTGCTGAAACAGTGCCGACTTGCAAACGGATTGGCCTAATCAAGAAGTTCAAACTAGAGAAATGGAAAACCAGCTCTCATAACCAACCTAATATAAAAATTTAATTAATAGTGAAGATGTAAAGTGTAGCCATGAGTTAAACCTCTCCTGTCCTTCCTAGCTTCCTTGCTTCAGAATTGAAATGGAAGGGGGTGTTCTTACTCTGTAGAATTTGGAGCTGGTCAGATGTTTGTGTGGCTTCCTTAAACTAGCTGTTATGATTTTATTCTTTGTGAGTTAATTAGAATAAAGTGATTTTCTTCCAAAAAAAGAATGAATTTTCAAGGTTTATTTTCACATTTTTTAAAAAAGATCTATTTTGTAGCCCAGAATGTACAAATTTTAGCTTGCTTCTTTGAACTTTGAGAGTCTAAGTTTATGTTCACTTTGAATATGAAACATATAACCTGCAGTGGTAGCAATAAACCTCTATTTCTTTGTATTCACATCTAAAGTTTAAGCTATGCTGGCACAGCTTCAGCCTATTCATATGAAACAGGCTTTTCCCCACCTTTTTAATATTCATTTTTTAGGATCACATTTTCACTAAGTATTTGGACTTGGCATTGTATAAGTTTTCAAAATAAACTACGTAGAAAGATACTCTTATGTATACACCTTAACAATGGAAGGACCAAAATTAGAACTCAGGCTTCATATTTCTGAATTTTTACTACTTTCTGTGAGTTGTGGTGTTAGGATGTGGGTAGAGGGTTTTTTTTAAAGGATGTATTTTATTTAATTTTAGATTGCTGACTTTGAAGAGTATTCCTAATCCTTTTAGGAATTAGAAATGCTTATATTTGTTTTTGCTAAATAGAGCACATTGGAAAACACTACAATCTTCATTTTTTTTTTTTTTTTTTTTGAGGTGGAGTCTAGCTCTGTCACCCAGGCTGGAGTGCAGTGGCGTGATCTTGGCTCAGTGAAACCTCTGCCTCCTGGGTTCAAGTGATTCTTCTGCCTCAACCTCCCAAGTAGCTGGGATTACAGGTGCCTGCCACCACACCCAGCTAATTTTTGTATTTTTAGTAGAGATGGGGTTTCACTGTGTTGGCCAGGCTGGTCTCAAACTTCTGACCTTGTTATCTGCCCGCCTCGGCCTCCCAAAGTGCTGGGATTACCACCATAAGGCACTGCGCCTGGCCCCCCCCCCCCTTTTTTTTAAAATTATTTCTCAACTGCTTGTGGTATATTAGTAAGAAATAAGAATAAAATTTTGTTTGTGTGAAGAATACTACTATTCAAAACATTTCTTTCCTGTATAAGTGATAGTGTCCTACTAATCAATTCCTTACATTTAAAAAAATATTTTTTAAAAAGTTATTTTTTGCCTAATTTATGGTGTAAGCTTTAACTGAGCTAGAAATGTCCTTTTTAACCACATGATTTGCAAGTTCAGTACCAGAGCTTTGTTATTTTTTGACCAGTCTTCCTAAAAGCTTGATGTAAAGTTTCAACTCTGTTCTAAGCAGGGGAATAATCATACTGCTTCAATGACAGAGGCCTTTTGTACTCAGTGGAAGTCTCTGCCACCAGCAGGTGGTAGTTACTGAATATTTACTGGATGAATTTCATGTCTTCTGCTTTCAGGAGATGTTCTCGGTCCTTCCATCAATGGCTTAGCCTCACTGATTCGGATGCCCTATGGCTGTGGTGAACAGAACATGATAAATTTTGCTCCAAATATTTACATTTTGGATTACCTGACTAAAAAGAAACAACTGACAGATAATTTGAAAGAAAAAGCTCTTTCATTTATGAGGCAAGGTAAGCATTTTAGAGACCTACATTTGTTTGTAAAAAATTTGTGGTTTTTTTTCAGGTAGGGTTCACTTTAGACCATATTTCAAATAGATGGATTTTGTCTCAGGTAGGTGATGGGCTACATGGTGTTGACATGTGCAGGAAGTACAAACACTGAAAAGCCGTTACTGTTCCTTTAGCAAACTGTTCACTCATGGCTGCTAAGATGTTTGTTAGTAATGGCTTAAGAGTTAGTTTCTGGAGGGGGTTTTATTATACTAAGGGGTCTGAAATTTAAAACTCCTTAAAAATCTAGAGGAACACTTGTTCATTCATTATTTATGCATTTGTGGAGTGTCTCTTAGTGCCAGGATCAGTTCTAGTGCCAAGAAAAGAGAGGGAGCCAGAGCCTCTCTCTTTATATATATATATATATTTTATTGTGTTTTAGGTTTTGGGGTACATGTGAAGAACATGCAGGATTGTTGCATTGGTACATACATGGCAATGTGGTTTGCTGCCTTCCTCCCGATCACCTATATCTGGCATTTCTCCCCATGTTATCCCTCCCCAACTCCCCACCTCCCACTGTCCCTCCCCTAGTTCCCCCCAACAGACCCCAGTGTGTGATGCTCCCCTCCCTGTGTCCATGTGTTCTCATTATTTAATACCTGCCTATGAGTGAGAACATGCGGTGTTTGATTTTCTGCTCTTGTGTCAGTTTGTTGAGAATGATGGTTTCCAGGTTAATCCATCTCCCTACAAAGAACATGAACTCATCGTGTTTTATGGCTGAGTAGTATTCCATGGTGTATATGTGCCGCATTTTCCCTGTCCAGTTTATCATCGATGGGCATTTGTGTTGGTTCCAAGTCTTTGCTGTTGGGTGAAAGATATGAATAGACACTTTGCAAAAGAAGACATATATGAGGCCAACAAACATATGAAAAAATGCTCATCATCACTGGTCATTAGACAAATGCAAATCAAAACTATGTTGAGATACCATCTTATGCCAGTTAGAATGGCGATCATTAAAAAATCTGGAGACGAGATGCTGGAGAGGATGTGGAGAAATAGGAACACTTTTACGCTGTTGGTGGGAGTGTAAACTAGTTCAACCATTGTGGAAGACAGTGTGGTGATTCCTCAAGGATCTAGAAATAGAATTTCCATTTGACGCAGCAATCCCATTACTGGGTATATATCCAAAGGATTATAAATTGTTCTATTATAAGGACACATGCACACGAATGTTCATTGCAGCCTCTCTTCTTAATGAATTCGCTGCTCAGTGGAGAGGTTGGTTTGTATGTAAACAAACGCAGTGCTGTGTGGGGGAGACCTTCTTGGTGCATTTAAAATGTCAAGCAGATAGGGGTTAAGAGAGAAATGTTTGAATGAGGAGGACCTGCTGGACCCTGAGGAAATGCCATGCTAGCGGAGATTGTATCCTGATGCCTTGAAAGGTAGAAACTGTTCACAGGCACCAGATCCTTTGTTCTGGTAACTTGTTAATAACAGCAGTTTAACGTGAGTTGAGTGTGTACTATCTGGCAGGCAGTGTTCTAAGCACTTAACATCTCATACCTCATTGAAGGCTCACAATTTGTATTAGCATGCTCCTGTTTTTTGCAGATGAGCGAGCTGAGGTGTGGAAAAGTTAGCTAGCTTGCCTGGGGTCATGTAGTCATATAGAGCTGGGATTTGGACTCAGCCTATGCTCTTGACATCCACACTTTGGAGGAAACAAAGAGTTGTGAAACATGTTTAATAATAGTAGTAAATTTGATTTTCTGAAATACTCCAAAGCCAACCAAAAGTTACAGTCTCAGTTTTAGCATTTCCTTATCAGTGGACCTCTAGCACAAACTCTCTGAGGCTGAGTTTTTCTCTGTGCACAATTTGTATGATATATTCTGTCCATCAAACTCATGAGGATTAGAAGGGCTCACACAAACTGATTAAGAATTCATTATAATCTAAGAAAAATATGGTTCAGTACCTCCTACTTCTAATTTTTTTAATGACAAATGGATTAAATTCAAAGTAGAGGCACACTATTGTTTACTAATTTCTCCACAGGAGAATTAGAAAACTCATGTTAGTGTTTCTTCTAGCCTCCCTTATTGTGTAGAGACCTGTTTATTCTCTGTAAATCTATGTAATGACAGTAATAGTCACTAACTCTGTATAAATGTTTTATGCATGTTTCATTTAATTCTCACAAAAACTGTAGGTGTACTGTTACTATTTCCATTTTACAGATGAGGAAATTGAGGTGCAGAGAGGTTAAATAATTTACCCATGGTTTTCCCCAGGTGATCTGGCTCCAGAGTCTACCTTGTTCCTCAGCATGCTATGGGATAATTCTAATCTGCGAGGTTCTCAGGTTGTGAGAAGCAATGGGGTATGATGGAAAGGACCAGGAACTGGGGCAGGATGCTTGAGTATCACCACCATGTACAAAGTCTCATTGGAGGTTCTGATAAAATAGTAAAGGAGGAACATGGAGTCCCGCAGGGAAGGAGGCACCAAAGGTCAGAATATGGGTTGTTGGATTAGACTGAAGTGAGCAGTAAGGTGTTGGATTTAAGTAGATGAGCTGGAATCAGTGTCCAAAGATCTCTCTGGGATAGGATGGCACAGACACCGGCTGAGTAGGATTCAAGGGGTTGAAGATCAGGAACAATGCAGTGTATGAGGCCACAAACCAAGGGAGACCAGGGTTTGGAATGAGGGTGGGTGTGGCCTGAGTTCTGATGTGGGGAATGACATCGTGATGTATCTTCCCTTAGATTAGGGCCGGACCTTGCAGACACTATGGCCGGCCCTGAAATGCAGCAGGTGGTTAGGTCTTCTGGGAAATTGGCAGAGATCTAGCAGTTGGAATTTCCTGTATAGAATTGCCTATGTAAAATTATCCTCGTTAATACACATTTGTGGATTGGTAGTGTTTTAAATATACACATGCAAGAATAACCTATTTTAAGTGGTACCACGTGGTTTCTGTGGTATATTGTGTGCCATGCTAAAAACAAATAAGATCTTTACACATTGGCGTAATGGCTGTAATTAAGGAGATAAGTAAAAATTATTTGGGATTATCATGTTGAACTTTGTACCTTTTGAAAACAAGTTTCCAATTTGTAAGATTTAGTTTGTCTGGTTTCAAGTAGAAACTACAATGGATTTAGACTGGTGCTTTATAATTTGGTATACATTCTTTGAGATATTTTAATAAAATAAGGTAAAATATTTTAGAAAATACCTCATAATTCCATATTTTTATATGCTTTTATGAACTGTAACTTTGGCTAATCAAATATTAATGCTTTAAAAAGATAGGATTAATTTTACATAGCTTGAAACATTAAAGCAATGAAAACTCATTCCTTAAAAATAATTTCAGTATGGAGGGCCGGGTGCAGTGGCTCAAGCCTGTAATCCCAGCACTTTGGGAGGCTGAGGCAGGTGGATCACGAGGTCAAGAGATCAAGACTATCCTGGTCAACATGGTGAAACCCCATCTCTACTAAAAATACAAAAAGTTAGCTGGGCATGGTGGTGCGTGCCTGTAATCCCAGCTATTCAGGAGGCTGAGACAGGAGAATTGCCTGAACCCAGGAGGCGGAGGTTGCGGTGAGCTGAGATCGCGCCATTGCACTCCAGCCTGGGTAACAAGAGCGAAACTCTGTCTCAAAAAAAAAAAAAAAAATTTCAGTATGTGTCCTAGATACTTTGGCTGCAGACCAGCTGCTGTCCTGCAAAATGAATGGTCCAAAATCCTCAGCATCTGTTGTTTTCCCAAAGCAGTGCTGGCCCCTTAGGTCAGTCCTGGTCAGGTAGGTGGCCAAACTGCAGTTTTTCAAAGTAACCCAGTGAAGATCTCTTATGATTGCCCGAGATCCCTCCTCACATTTGTTGGTTGTTAGAAGGTGCAGAGTGGCCGGAGTGCAAAAAAGCATTGTTCTCTAAATGCCAGGTAGTCCTCTCAAGAGTTGAGAACGCGGAGCGCTGCAGCTGTAAGTGAGTTTCCCCTTGAGAGGAAGTAGATCGGGGCATAGCACTGGCTGTAGAGGCAGTCAGACCTGGGCTGGAGTCCTGGCTCCCGCCTTGGGCCAGGTCCTTAGCCTCTCCAAGGCTTGGTTTTCTCACCTGGAAGACAGGGATAATACAGGCACTCACTTGGTGGGGTTGTTTGGAGGAGACAGTGAGAAATGTGAGCATTTTATTCAGAACATAGTAAGCACACAGAGAGTATCAGTTATAGTAGGATTAGTTGCCTCTAACTAGGGAGTTAGGGGTTAATGTCAGCAAACAGATTCTGTCCATTCTCCCTCTAAAACCCAATATGAAATTCTTCTATTTCTCTCCATCCCACTGCTAATTGTTCCATTCACACAGCACTGTCGCTCACCTGGACTACTCCAACGACTTCCTGAGTAGTTTCTCTTTTTCTGTGTTCCCTCCACTTCAGTGCATTCTTCATATTACATAAAAGGGATCTGTGAAGACATCACGATCCTGTCACTTGCTTGCTGGCGATCCTGCAGTGGGCTCCCGGCCTCAGCCTACTGGATTCTGGGTGATCTGGCTTGACCTCCCTCCTTAGTCTCATCTGGAACTGGCTGTGTCTGGAACACTGTGAGCTCCATGCTGCTTCAGGGACATGAGGCTTGCTCTTCCGTCTCCTGACATGCTTTCCCCCTGGATCTTTCCATCGCTGCTCCTTTTCATCATTCAGGTGGTGTTTGCCTCAGAGCGGCCTTCCCCGACCACTTAATAACTCTAACTTGTACTACTCCATTTTATTTCTTCACTTAACACTGCTTAAAATTATCCTGTCTGACATCTGTCCCTAGATTTAGAGGGGGAGCTCTGTGACAGTGGGGGCCATGGTTGATCTTCATTGTATAGCTATGTGAGCATCTCAATAAATCCAGAATGGGTGAATGACTTATTACCAATATTAACTTCTATGGACTTTAGGTTTATCATCCTAGTGTGGATATTGGGTCCAG